AGACGGCTTGTCAGGGTATAATAATGGAGGTGTTACCTGACAATGAAACAGATGTAATAAATGTTTTCTCATATATATAGTGGAATACATTTTTAATTATGACCAATAAGATGTGGTATTCCTTACAAATATGAAATATCAATCAGATTGTTTAATCAGAAGATTCTAGGGTTCTTTGCTTGTTCGGGGACCGTAAACATATTAATTCAGACAGAGTCAGTATATAGTTTATAAAAGGAATTTAATTATTTTTCCTAAGCTAACAATTATACATGACAAGAAAAAAAAATATATATATATATATATATATATATATATATATATATTAAACCCATGGAAAAATTCCCTCTCCTTTCCTCAAATTACATTTAATAATGTATTTTTCTGCAAAACCAGTTTCACATTGGGAGCAACAAGTGGAAGGTTTTTGGAGACACACATTTTGTGGAAAAAATATGCAAGTTTTATTTGGCAATGACCTGTAATGTGTAAAGAATTCACTTGCAATATGCTTTACATAATTGTATCACAATCAAATAGCAAATGTGAAATAGTGCAAATATTATTGGTGCATGTTATTCCCAAAATATTACAATTGTGTCTTGATTTGACCACAAATCCTAGTTTTTTCAGTTTATTCAATATTGTGTTTCCACCAGTAGAGTTTATATTTACATAAATATACAAACAGCCTGAATTTGGGATGCACACAAGTTTGAGGTTCACCCTTTTTTTTCTTAAAATTTGATGTACATGCTCGAGTCTTCCTTCTGACAAGGAGACAATATTTCTCCTCCCCTTTGAAAGAAAGTCTGCCCTCTTTGCTATGATTTGCATACTCAGGCTCATCGGCGTCACCGGCAACATTTTATTAGAGCACATGCCTCAGTGAATATCAGCTGTGCCACTGTCAAATGTTCCAGTCACATTAAAGAAACTCACGGGCATATGCTGGTGTGCAAAGCAGCTGTCTCTATTGGAAATACACATCTTTATCAAACTGATGAAGTTTTGCAAGCACAAAAAAAAAAAAAAAAAAAAAAAAAAAAAACTGGTGACTATTTGCAGACTGGGGACCATTGCACTGGAAGCCCTGACGCACTGGGGAGGAGAGCCGGTATCCAATTTGCTCATGACACAAAACTGAAAATAACAGCATGTTGTAGTCAGTACTGTGAGTTCATGTAATAATCTGATCATCTTAGATAATTTGTGTATTCTCATTCTGCTGAGTTACTTCACTTGATGCCACTCAGCTATCTTTCAGACCGCGTGGAACACTGTCCACTTTAACGAGGCCGGCATTATTTGTTCTTTCACTTTAGATTAGCCGCAACACCCAAATGATATTCAGAACTTTTCACACAGAATAAGACCGCTGCATCCTCACACATTTCCTTCCACTGATCCAACGGAAATGATCCATGGGTGGGGCTGCGCTAAGGCTAAAAATTAACATGTGGCAGATGAGCATCAGTCAAGGTGTGCTGATTGTACCATATAAACCATATGGACCAACCTACTGAAAAGTGATAATCTGTGGGAGTGCATCAGAAGTTAAAATGAGACCAGTCTGGAGACGATCTCGACAAGAAAGGAACGTTGATGGACCTTAAATGATAACATCTTTTATCTTAAAAATCATCACAGAAGGAATTGTTCAGCTAACTTTTACGATCTGCCAAGCATTAAAATCTGCCGTTTTTATCTTTGTTTCAGTTATGGTACGAGAGAGCACGACAGCACATTGTCCAAAAAGTTCTAAATTGCCAAGGATGGACAAAAGAGAGTCAGTCATTGTGTCCTTGGGCAAGACACTTCGCCCTCTTTGGTGGTCGAAGGCACCAGTGATGCCAATTGTGTGACATTTTCACTTCTGTCAGTACACCCCAGAGTTAATGTGGCAACAACGCAGCTGTAGCAGACTGACTACACTGTACAGTGCTGATGCCAATGTGCATCTATGTGTTTTCGTGTCCTAATCACTCACCGTCACATTCATGAATGTATTATTGCATTCACATCGCAGCCACGGTATAATTTCATGTCTAGCAACACCCCACCCTTGTCTGTGATTTTCCCTTATGCAAACAGGAAGTGCAATGTTGTTAGAATTACTATTATGCGTATTTGTATAATGTGGGTATGAGAAAAAAAGCGTTAGGTCTTAGGGTAATTTTATTGATGACATCTAGGGTGTTTTTGTTTTGATTTACAAACTTGCCTTTTATAGCTAATGCAGATTTTATTATGGATCAACACTTCCAAGTGACAAAAAGAGGCACGATTAGGAGTCTTCAATTCAGTGCATTATTATTCTTCATTCACCGTGAAAGTCGAAATCACTCTTCACAAACACAATAGTTTCAGATGGCTTTCATGTTGAATAGGAGGTAGCTCATCCAACAATAACATCTGTTTCCCATCGTCAATCACACACTGGCAGAACCGGTTCACTGAGCTTCTAAAATGGAGAGCATTGTTGTGTTTGAAAAAAAAAAACAGTTTTTGGCCTTTGTCCCTTTAATACCGCCATCATGAAAGCTGGGTCTGCTTATTTTTTAGCTGCCATTTCAGTACAAATTCTCATAATGGCTTTAATTTAAAAATATTTCCAACATGAAGCAACTTTTGCTTTGATGAAAAGAGATTTAAGAATCTGAATCACATCTAAACTATGGTGAGTGAGAACATTTTATATTCATACAAACAATAACGTTTAGGGAGGGAGGGTTGAACTAGGATTTCATTATTTCAGTTTTATGGATCCTTAAAAATTTTAAAGAACTTAATCAAGGAGTAATGAATAATTCTGTGTGCATTTGTGACAGGATACCAGAGTCTGTTGTTCTGAGGCTGACTCGGCTCACGGCCGGCACATTGTGATTCAGCTTCAAGGAGAGGATTTAAAATACGCTGTAACCTCGCACAACACAGAAGAGACAAAACGCTGGAGCAAGGCCCTGCAGCAACACATCTATAACCTGAGTAAGACTAAGAATTAGAAACTGAGCTGATGGCTTTTTCTATTAGAAATGTTGTCTGGTGAAGCTGCTTAGGCTATCATTCAGCAGAGTGAGGACATATTCCAAGAAAGATGGCTGCTGTGGTTTTTTAGGAAGAATGTGGCCTTAAAATGAGATTTTGCAATCTTTTTGTTCCCTGTGCATGACTTTTCCAATGCTTGACCCTTGAGAAAAACATCTGAATCGTGCACCACACTTAGTTTAAATATGACGCCTTGGGAGTCGGGTCCTGACATGTATGCTGCCGGGAAGAAGGCGGGAACATTCGGCAGTGCCTGGCCCGGGCTCAGGGGCCTCGGGTAGACCTTGCCCACTCTGCTGTCCCATCACAGGGGAGGGGGATGTCCAGGAGGGGGAGGACCCACCTTACCTGGATGTCCTATGTCTTATATATTCTGGAAATTGTGCAAATGCAGGGATGGGAGTAGATATTCTGCTGGGGTGGAGCTGGGTTGGTGCCCTCAGACTCCGTGAGGCTCTGTGATGCTGCTGCTTTGGGCCCTGGCAAGATGGGCAGGGGTCTCCATGCCCTGGGTGGCATTTTGGCAACAGAGGTGCCTATTGGGGCCAGTGGGGGAGCTGGCTCCCTGGAGGGCTGAAGCCCAACCAGCCATTCCTCCCCATCCCCACACATTTCTCTCCTCCTGCTTCCTCACATCATCACACAATCATGCACATAGGATCTTGGCGGGTGGAAAAGTCAGGGGGTGCGGGTATGGACCCCACTTCCGCATTCCTGTGGCAGCCTGCCCCCCAATTTTATTTGCACCATATACACTTCCACTGACGACATTCCACGCAAACACACACTTAGAGTGAGCACATCCAACGGCAGTTGGCAGGGGGATTTCTCAGCCTCATCCCAAGTGCCGGTGCCCACTTCCAATTTTAAACTGTGCTTAGACACTAAGGGCTGTGGGTGCAAGTGGGGTGGTGTGGTGGCATCAGCTGGCGTAGGCCAGACGATGCCCGCACTGCCCGCTCACCACAGCCATGGAATACACCTCATCAACACTCACTAACACTATACTGGAGCAGGCAGAGGGAGACTAGGGGTCGTAGCACACCTCTGTTGTCGATTGTCTTCCTGGGGCTGGAGGCTAGGAGGGAGATCTGGCCGTCTGGTTGGGGTCTGGGGTGGTGGGTTGCTGTGCTCAGCATTGGGCGGGGGAGCCTGCTCATCAGCACCCCAGCAGAAATGGTCGAACTCTGGGAACCGGTAATGGTTGTACCCCATGTGCAGCAGTACCGGGACCAGAGTGAATAGGGTGTGTATGGGTAGAATGAGTGGGTGTCCGGCGTGCACTTTTGTAAGTCTTTGGTTGTATGTATTTGTGTGAGCATGAGGGAGGGAGTGTGTGACTGTGTCTGTGTATGACTGTATATGTCAGGTGGGGCCTTTGACTCCTCCCTTCTCCTGGGACTTCTTTTGCTGCTATACATCTTTGTCTCCCCTCCCCCGCTACACCTGGTGTGGAGTGTGGTGCCTTGGTCTGCTTGAGTGTTCGTGGCTCCCGGGTCAGGGGGTTTAAGATTTTTGGCGCCTGCCTGATCAATCCCGGTGGCTGCCTGATAAATAAATAAAAAATAAATAAATAAAAAATAAATAAATATGACGCAACAAGGTCTGAATTACTAATGTGAAACTGTCCTAATTTTGGAAACTTTTGTCTAAGTCCTGAAGGTATTCAGGAAAGTATAAACACCCACATACAAGTTACTTATTAGAATGCACAATGGCGTGAAAGTGCAACAGTATATCCTGCATCTGAATCTCTGTGAGACGGTATGAGAACATCCGTCATTTAGTATGTCAGAAGGCAATTCCACATTGCTGCTACTCTGAAATTAGTTTTGGATTTCTATTCAAATGTCGGTGACACAAACATTCAGTTGATCAGCATTCTTCGCCGGCAGCCATGAGACGAAAAGCTGCTGGTCCAAATGATTTGTCTTTGCGATTAGCTGAAGTTGACTTTGACTGACAGATGCTAAACTTAATTTTCTCCCTATTCTTTAAATTTAAGCCGCCTGCTACAGCCTACCCGTGTTTGCCCAGCTTGTGTTTACTTCTCAGATGCTTTTCTGAATGAACCATCTGGAACGTCAGATTAAGGTTTCATGGATTTTCAATCAATATTATATTAGATTTTATGTTTACCGCTCATTGTTGATTTTAGCCTTCAGCAATTTTCTCATGTGGAATTATCTGAATAGCAGCGATAATCATGACAGAAATAACCAGCGTCACTATCATGTCACTAAGATTTTTTTTGAAGTATGAAAATAGAAAAACAAAAAGAAAAGGCACACATACATACACAGGCTTTTATATTGGTAACGGTGTTATATATGATATGTGGTTCAACTGGTATGACATCCTCTGTTATTATTACAGACTCTGACTAACAAAAGTGCAGAGACAGAGCTAACATGCCAGCTATAACTTAGACAATTTGACAGCATAATTGTTGTTATTAATTAAAGTCTGCACCTCTGTTGTTCTGTTTGAAATTCCTAGTAAATCTGTTTGTTTCAGGCCAGTGGAAACAATGTTGTGACAATGTGATGAAGATATCAACAAGGAACACCAAAAAACCCAACACGGTGAAGCAGGGATCTCTGTTCCATGAAATGGGTGAATGCACAATACAATGCATCTTTTGTTTTTGTCTAGGAAATGATTCCTTGATTTTGGGTTAGGGTTAGGGTTATGGGGGTAGGGTTAGGGTTAGAGAATGAGAGATGCAGAAAAGCCCAAAATCCCTGTAGAGTTCTGGTCCCCATAGTCTCTATAGAGGTCTGGTCCCCGTTGTCCCTATAGAGTCCTGGTCTCCATAGTCCCTATAGAGTCCTGGTCTCCATAGTCTCTATAGAGTCCTGGTCTCCATAGTCTCTGTAGAGTTCTGGTCCCCATAGTCTCTATAGAGTTCTGGTCCCCGAAGTCCCTATAGAGGTCTGGTCCCCGTTGTCCCTATAGAGTCCTGGTCTCCATAGTCTTTATAGAGGTCTGGTCTCCATAGTCTTTATAGAGTCCTGGTCTCCATAGTCTTTATAGAGGTCTGGTCTCCATAGTCCCTATAGAGTTCTGGTCTCCATAGTCCCTATAGAGTCCTGGTCTCCATAGTCCCTATAGAGTCCTGGTCTCCATAGTCTCTATAGAGTGCTGGTCTCCATAGTCCCTATAAAGTTCTGGTCTCCATAGTCTTTATAGAGGTCTGGTCTCCATAGTCCCTATAGAGTTCTGGTCTCCATAGTCCCTATAGAGTCCTGGTCTCCATAGTCCCTATAGAGTCCTGGTCTCCATAGTCTCTATAGAGTTCTGGTCTCCATAGTCCCTATAGAGGTCTGGTCTCCATAGTCCCTACTGAGATTCGTGAGCAACATGAAGTAGAGCCGCTGCTCCCTCATGGCAATTGAAGTGAGTTTAGAAGGTTCGATTGATAATGCGTCCAGGATGCCTCAGAGGGGATGTGTTTGAGGCATATCCTGCTGACAAAACCCCCCCACCCCCCCACCCCCACCCCCACCCCCACCCCCCACGGTCAACCCAGGACATGTTTGGGGCATCTCCATGGGGATCCCACCAAGTGGAACTGGTGGAGGCTGCTGGGGGTAGAAATGGCTTGGGCCTCGCTGCTGGAGCTGCCACCCTCACGACATGGCTAAACACACAGACTTCACTTCTTGTAATTAAGACTGATTACACAAATCAGGTAAAATAAAGGCTGCAATGTGATGTAAAACATTTGGGTGAAATAAAATATAAAAAAAAAATCTCCAAAGTAATAAAAACATGAACCACATGAAAACAGAACATTTTCTTGTTGAAGTATTGCAGATGCACATCAGTGTGCGAACGTAAATGTCACCGTCTGCTCACGTGTCCCTTCTAGCCAGGAATTTTGACAGCGTGTTCAGTTTTGGAATGACATCGAGCTTGAAAGAAGAAAAATGTGTTTGGTCGAAGAGCAGGCTTCCCAACAATGACCTGCGACCACAAACCAGACATGCAGCCGACGTGAATGGGAGCCTTATCTCTGACACTGGCTGACGTCAGTCAGGCTGAGCAACATCTTTACATTAATCCTCCCATACAGAATCTTTTGGTAAAACATGTAAAAAATAAATACATAAATAAATAAAATAGTTTAATAAAAGAATTCTGCATGATGATTATAAAAACAAAAGATCCTGTTGAAGAGGCATTTCAGTCTCTTAAATGCAAATAAGTAGCAAAGTTGTGTGGAATTTTCCTCTGTTGATTACTCATTATCAGCGTCTCATCAGCTAGAAATGCATTTTTGGCACGAACACACTTTTGAACTGTTTGGTGGCGGTTTGATTGGGTAAATAATTTCTTTATTCCTCTTCTTTTACAGTCACACCTTCCTCTCCGAGAAAGGGTCCTGTAATTCCAGATTTGTCGGCTGAGATTCGCACTTTGCTTTTATCCTATTACAAGGAAAGGTAGGCATTTGAATGAATCTTCAAACATTATTTTGCTTTATGAATGAACAGATGCAAAATCCCATCTCATCATGAGTTTAATCCAAATAAAAAAAACAAAATTATACTCACCAAAACAAAAACATGCAAAAAAAAATAATAATAATAACACCAAGAAAAATTAGGAAACAAAATGTAGATCTCTTGCTGAAATGTTTAGTAAAAATCTGCACTGGATGACCCACTGATAGTTTGCAAAGCATTTAGGCACAGATTATGTTTCCACTTCACAATAACTGACAGGCAGAGGCGGTGTTTGGCCCGGCTACTTGGGCTCAAGCCCCGAATCTTTAATGAAAAGCCCCAGATCTCAAACGTGGAAGTAACATGCAGTACCAAAGTCCAACAGAGAGGGAGCAGCTAGCAGTAGTTTGTATACAGCCTGCCTGAGCCTCCACCACTGAAGAAGAAGCCCTTCAGCAGCCGGTGTCGGTACAGGATCTGCTCGGGTGCAAGATCGGCTCGGGGTCCTTTGACTGCCGATGACGTCAAAGTACGGCAAGCCCACTCGGACAAAATACACTACACATCTATACTGTTGGAAAGAATTTAGCAGTTTTGTTTTAAAATAATGTTTCTTAAGATGTAAACTTGTGTTTATAATGTCATTTGTAAAATAAAACACTATATTGTATTCATAATGTTGAACTCCTCTTTGAGCACATCCCTTGAAGGATCATAGGTATTAGCAACACCTGTGAAATTGTATTTGCAGGAAAGAAGTGTGTCCCGTTTATTGAAGTATTTTGTGTTTAGAGTTTTTGACGTCTTGTTCATGCGTAGTTCAGTTACGCTCATAGCTGCTAGCCAAAACTCTTGAGTTAAAAGTTTTCTGGCTTTACTAAAATACCTGTCTGTACTTATTTGATTGATGGTAGTTTTACTTTCTATTAGACTCCAAATGTAATCATTTGGCACGTTTCTAATTCATAATTTGTAATAATGTAATCGTCGATATTAGCATTAGCATTCCTATGGGTTTTTCCATGTATATTAGCATTGCGCTAACCACTCACTGCCAAATTGCAGCCTTTGCGATTAGAAAATCTCCTTTTGTCACATTGCAATTTAATTGCACATGCAGTTAATCGTTCAGCCCTAATATACATGCAGCTCTATGCTAAAAGTGTATTTTCAAAGAGGTAATGATGGATTTCTTTGTAAAAGTTGTCCATCTTTCCAACAGAAAGATTTGCCTGGACCAACGTAACCTGATAACAACGTAACGTGATTACGTAATTCCGTAAGGTTCATGTTCAGCCAATCAACTACTTAGACGTCATCGGTAGTCGACGGACCCTGAGCCGATCTTGCACACGAGCAGATCTTGTACCGACAATGGCTTCTTCTGCAGTGCCTGGTTTCTTCTACTCTCTGCCTGAAACGCATGAGTGAAGATGGACATAAGGATGTTTTTTAGACCAAAAGTACGGCGACAGAACCCCAGCTTTGATGATACTGGTGTTGACTCAGGTTTGTGAGTCTTATTTGAAAATATTTGTTGTGCTGCTGGTTTGCCTAAAGTTAGCTTACTATCAGGTAAAGTTGATGGAGAAAGAAAGGGAATATTTACTATCATCTCACACTAAACACTAACAGGAACAATACTCTGCCCTGAATATGCTTAATATGTAGCTTCAGATTAAAAATTATGTGGTACAAGACAAATATATATGATGTTGACTAGTGCGTGTCACGTGTGTGTGCGCGCGCGTGTGTGCGTGCGCGCGTGTGTGCGTGCGCGCGTGTGTGTGTTAACTCATTCACTGCCAGCCGTTTCCTGATCACTAACGGCCTTCGCTACCTGCGTTTCTCACCGTTTTTACTGTTTTTTTTAAGAGTCACAGAACGTTGCGCGCTAGCATGATGTCGATGCCAAAACAACCAAAACAAAGAGGAGACTCACCTCTTACATCAGGAAAAAGCCGCGTGTTTCGAGCGTTATTCGTTCTTTCATAATCCGTTGTCGAATTGTGATCGGCAGACGCTTTTCCGGTTCGCGCCTCACTTTTTTTACAGGAACGGCCCAAAACGATCTCCAAACACATGGATGTGTTGCTTCCTGATCATGTGATCTGTGACTATGCGGATGAAGATCGGCTTCAGGGCTGAGATGTTTGTTCTCTCAGCGCAGGGGCTCGTTCCGATGCTCAAACAGTAAAAAAAATGCAAATGACGACTTTAGTTGTCATTGGCAGTGAACGGTTGGATCTAAAATGATGACTTTAGTCGTCAATGGCAGTGAATGAGTTAAGCCCCGGATCTTCTTCAGTCCTTAATCCGCCCCTGCTGACAGGTGCAGATAGGTGAGAGCTACATAAGGTATTAGCTTGTTTTAGTGTTTTAGTGTTGTGCATCTTGAAAATGAAGAAAGTGCTAAACTTTCCTTAGTCTACTGAAAAAACAAGCTCATGAAAAGGCCTGCTTAACCCCCTGCATCGTGTGAGCTGTTACATTTTTGCAACATGTTTTATTATTAGAGAAATAAGGTGTGTCGGGGAATGAGAACAATTCTGAGAACAGAGAAGCAGGGAACACAGCTGCAAACAATAACTTCACCTTGCATGTAAACAGGAGCTTTCTTTTCCTGATTTAAGGAGGAGTAGGATTTTGCCAAATCCTAGTTTTATCCCTGGAGAAGTAAACGAGAGCAGTGAAGGTGTGCAGATATCTCCTGGATCTGACAGGAAATCCAACGCTAAGGCTTTTTTTTCAAACAGGAACGACACAAACTGTGACTCATGTTGGCCTAGTTCAAAGATTTACCGGTACATAAAAAATAGCAATGCACTAGACTTTAATTCAAAGGTCTCCTGTTCTTGTCTTTGAGAAGGGCATGTTTTAGTTGTTTCCCTGCTCCAACACACCTGCTTCAACAGTTGAGTTACCTGTTTGGCAGGCTCATCACACTCTGCAGAATCTCATTCCTCATCTTCTAATTAAAATGAGGCGTATTGAAACAAGGAACCTTCATAAATATGGAGGAGTGTGGCCCTCGAGGACTGGTGGAACACAACCAAATCACAAGAGTGTGAGAAGATACAGGCTGGTTACTGACCAGCTAAAAATCAGATAAAACAGTGTTTACACAATTCTGCACTGATAACAATGAATGTACGTGCTGCAGATTTGGTGCAGAGCTTATCAAAGAAATCTGAATTTCTGTTCTCTGAGAACAATGAATTTGGAAAGCCCTTGTATATCATCAGCCCCCATGCCAAGCAAAAATCAACAGAGGAATTGAAAAACTGAAACGTGTTTGACTACATTCTGAAATAGTAAAGCTGTAGAGCACAGGAGGCTCAACTTGTTGTCAAAATGAGCTTCAAACAATTGCTGTGTCAAAACTGTAAGTTTGAAGTGTGAATGGTTAGTGTTGGACTGAATGGGCCAAGTCTTTTATGCAAGAGATGCGAAAAGTAAAAGAGAGTTTTGTTTCCAGTTTCATGGAGAAAATAATGAGCTCTGATGTAATAAAGCCTGACTTACACTTACACTATGGAGTGATTTAGTGAAAAAGCACAAAAGTGACCATGTTTTGATTTAAAATTTTTATGCATAAAACTTGTGGGATTACAGTTTAGAAAATTAAAATATTGTAACATAAAACCAAAAGATTTTAAAACCAGTTTAAACGTTTGAAGTCCACCTTTCTGTCACTCATTTTAACTGTAAAGGTATTGAAAACCCATTTAATCAGTGGTCTCAGGTAGGAAGGAGTGCCTTGCAAGCTGTTCTCTGGGCAAAAAAAAGCCCAGAACGGCTTGGATCAGCACCCACATGTCTGCTGTAGCAGAGAGTGGCACAACACGCCTAATATTGGGGCAGCAGTAGCTCAGCAGGTTGAGCGGGTTGTTCAGTAATCGGAAGGTTGCAGGTTCGATCCTGGTTCCGGACTGAGAATTCTGCTGTTGTGTCCTTGGGCGAGACACTTAACCTACCCTGCCTGCTGGTGGTGGTTGGAGGGACCGGTGGCGCCTGTTCACGGCAGCCTCGCCTCTGTCAGTGCGCCGCAGGGCAGCTGTGGCTACATTGTAGCTCATCACCATCAGTGGATGAATGATACTCTGTAGTGTAAAGCGCTTTGGAGTCCTTACTCTGAGAGGCGCTATACAAGTGTGGGTCATTTATCATTTTATCAATATCCTGACATCTTGCCTTGGATTGGATAACAGCAACGCGACTCTACAGCCTGATTTATACTTCTCCGTCTGCGTCGGTGTGGAGACACGCAACCCCATTATGCGTTGGTGCAAGGTCTCTCCATCAGGCTCGCAGAGGGTGATGTCTACATTTTTAAATATTCGTCTGAAGTGACGGAGACCACAAGCTTGTGACTGGTCAGGATGCAACTTCCTGCAAATTTGTCAACAGCACCGCCATTTCCACCCCTTAACTGTTAAAGATATTTAGTGACAGACTCGAAACTGATTGAAGAACGCTTTGAGGAAAAAGTCTGAAAATATGAACGTTTATCCACCCGTGACTAAAGGAGAACAAAAATACAGAGCAAACATTTTATTTGTGGACGGAAATGAGGTGCAGCCTGGGTTAAGAGGTGGCAATCGCATGAAGAGGTGGAGGAGAATAAAAGACAAATTAGCAGAGGTGTGGACTTGAGTCAGACTTGAGTCATTATTTTAATGACTTCTGACTTGACTTGATAAAATCTATAAAGACTGCCAACTTGACTCGGACTTGAATGCCAATGACTTGCAACTTGAATCGACTTGCATCTGTTGACTTGATGACTTGAGCATATTTGATATTTTAGCACAAAAGTGGCTCATGAACCATTCTTTGTTCTGGCTGTGATCTTGTGCTGCTAACTGCAGCAGCACTTTGTTTATAATCAGTTTCAGTTGCACCTTCTGTTCGTTTGAGCAAATAAATGAAGCTTTAAGAAGCTTTATTTCTGAATTTATTTATTATCATTGTCGTTAAATAGAAGTTGGACTTGGACTTGACATGGACTTCCACATAATTGACTTTGGACTCGACTTGAACTTGGTTGTCTTTGACTTGGACTTGACTCGAGACTTGACTGGAAAGACTTGTGATTTACTTGTGACTTGCAAAGAAGTGACTTGGTCACACCTCTGCAAATTAGTCTGTTGTAAAGTCTTTGAAATATATAAACATTCTAGTAAATACACTATCGTGGACTGGATACATGACTCTAATGGTGACATGATACCACAGAAAAGCCTTGCGCCCTCTGTTGTCCTGGCAGGAGATTTCTTTGCCAGGTGAGCGAGAACTCAGAGAGAAAAACATCTGAGTGTGCGTCTCTCCCTTGGAGCTGATGGAGAAGTATAAATCAGGATTACCACTGACTTGCATTGTGGATGTTTTATCTTCACAAATAACAAAAGCCTGGAGGAGTGTTTCTGTGTGGTGGTGTTGCTAATGCTAATGGTTAGCTTCTGCTAGTGGAGGCATTAAACCAACAACAGCCTTCCTCGTTGTGAGTCAAGGTGGGTGAGTCCCTGACTAGATCTGTCAGGATCCTAAAGTTTCACCATCTATTTTCTATCAGAAAGTAACGCAGCAGATAGGTGTAGGAGACTATTTTCATGTTCAGCCTGCATGAAACGGACAGTATAACCAGAAATCATCATTTAAAAATGGTTTAGCAGAGTTCAACACCTTTAATGGATGCTCCTTGGATTGTTCCATGTTTTTGGCAAATTTTGTTTGTTTTGACTTTTATGTTTTATAAAAAAAAATTGCGACAGAAATTCGATATAGACCTGAAAATAAGTTGGGGATTTATAAAATAAATTGTCATGGAATGAGAAATATTCCACAGAGGAAGTTAAATAGCCATCTGACTTTGTCATTAAAGCATTGATTTAAAGTAATTGTTTTCCGTAATGTGCTGTTTTATATAACATAATCAGCAGTCGTGTCAGCGTTGCAGCATCTACACAGTCTCTGTAACAGGTTTTTGCAAGAACATCTTTTTAAGATTTAATAACAGGTTGCTTGTTTGAAGCTGACAGTTTTATAGAACCCTTATAAACACTGACATAAGAAACAGTTTTATGTTTTATGAGCCTTTTGGGGTCAGCGGAGACAAGATTTAACAGATGACTTGAGGACTAAGCAAGACAAATACCTCAGGCACCGAGGAACATAAAGCTGCTCTTGTACAACTGTGGGCTTTGTCATGAAACACTAACCCAGACTCTGACCTATTACACTGGGCAAGCCAACTAAAGTAATATGTTTCTGTGTGCATATAATGCACCCGTTTGTTCAAAGCCATAGATCTAGTTCCAGATGGTTTGCGTACCGAGAAAAGCCAGACATTGATCACACCATGTGACAGAAAACTAGTTTTATTGCTCACGTCTAATAATTGATACATTTGAGGTTACAACCTGAGACAATGACATAGTCCTGCTGTGGTAATGCTGGTTTTGTTTCACTCCAAATATTTTCATTGCAAGTCATGTGCAATGTTTTCTAGACTGTAAAATGAGGCATTTCATTTTAGTGTTGTAATCCCGTGCATGGGTTTGGGTTGTAAAATTTACACCAAGCTGGGATTTTTCCATTGTTTGTGTTTAAATGTTCAAAGGTCTCACAGATAAGACATCTCACATTTCTACTCCGATTTGCACAACTAAGCACGCTAAATGTGACGAGTTCACCTTTGAGATTTGCAGTGTTCTTTGCAGTGACAAAACTCCATCCGAGCACATTTAAAAATAATCGTTAAGTTGCAACCGATTCTCGTCAGATCCGAAATGAAACTCTTGAACCGAAACTGCTCTGCCATATGTTGCAAAAATGTAGAAAACAGAGGGAGAGGAATAAAACTGGTTGGGCTGATGGACATGTTCTCGTCAGAATGAATCATCAGAAATGTTTGTCATTTTCATGCAATAAAAGACTCAACATCCTCATACCTGCAGATGCCCAGAAAAGAATGAAGCAAAATTTTTTAGAGGAACTTGTCGTAATAGTTTCAACCGTCAAGTGTTGGGTTGTGTTTCTCTCATTTAAGGCCTGGAATGACAATCAGGGTGTGTGCGCGCCACGAAGGAACGGTTTGCATGCCGATTCAACTGCACAAACTTTTACACCAGAGACAATCAAAAGCCCAACCCACTGATTGTGATTTTTATCGTGTCTTATATTAACATATTTTTGTATTTTCTTTACAGATATTAATTAATCACCTTTCCAAGCTGCAACGAGGAAAAGATCGCTCTTATTCTGCCTCCTCGGAGTTCCTGATCTGATTGAGATGGACCTGCTGAACCTCAACTTTACGCTCAGCCTGTGTGAAAAAAACTACAAGAGGCTGAAAACTTGATTTGATTCGTTTCACTGTATAACCTTTGTAGAATTAGATTTATGTTGCATTTACTTTCATTTTGACTATTTTAATTGAGCAGTTATCTCTTACTGGCTTTAACTGGATCCCGCTGTAACCACAGAAGGTGTTGTCTTAAGGTGACTCACAATGCAAATATGTTTTACTGGAAGCTGACAGCACCTGTCCTGTGACCACCGGCAAACGTTTCCAATCAAGCAGACTTGCTTGTTCATTATTATAATTTTATTATAATTACAATAATTAAAAAATCATGAAGTGTTCTTCTTGCAGGACTAAATGTACTACCTGGTTCCCTTTGAATCTGCTGATAAACCGCACATGTAAGCCCAAATCTTTCAGTAAAGTGGCATGTTCCCACATTTAAAGTGAAATATGTGCAGCCGTGATGTCAAACCAGTTTTTTTGTTTCCAGCTGGATTCTGGTTTTTTATATGTCTTAAAGCCCGAAGATGCAATCTACAAAAACTTGACTTAAAGTCACTAAGTATGATTTCCCTGGCAAAACATACCTGCATCATTGCAAGCAAGCGGTATTTTTGTGTTTGCGTAAGACCTTACCAACGGATGGTCATTAGGGTCAAAAATGCCTGGGAACGCAGCGTCCAGCAACATGACAAGCATCAGACTTCCTGTCGTCACTGAAAACGCGTGAAGAAGAAAACGGCCTGCGCCAACTGCCAAATTTAGAACTTTTTAATGCGTGAGAGCAGGGATGGAGGTCTTGACCTACACCTCCGTAAGCTTACCGTGAAGTGTGTGTGTGTGTGTGGCGGGGGGGGGGGGACCAGATTCCAACTTGCCAAATGTGGTACAGAGACTACTCAATGTGGGACAACATGAAGTTCCAATTTAATGAGAAAAAAATAAATAAACAAAGCGTGTATTTTGCCTTTTAGCCCTAACATCACTGTTACATAAACATACATTTATTATTCTTATTATCGTCATACATTTATGTTTATATTTTATTTGAATTCAACATGAAGAAGCACACAGCAAAAGCTTTACTATTTCACAGTTCCTCTCAAGTTACCACAACCTAACTCAGGCTCTTTGGGCCTTCTGTAGTGGCTCTGATCTTTTTAATAATATAGACAGGCCCACAATAATAAAAAAAAATGCAGGTTTAAGCAGCTTTTCAGGGTTTTCTTTGAATGTTTTCCACAACAGAATGACAGTAAAAGTACCCGTAATATTTTTAGATCTACTTATGTTTGTTTTTAATTAATTTTCCACTAAAATCAGCATCTCAGAGAAATAAAGATCCATACTTTCTTGCTTATTTTTCACAATTTAGAAACAAAACATTTTTTTTAACATGACAACAAATCTATTCTAGTTTTTAGGTGAGAGAATAAACATCATATTCTAACCTCTAAAAAAATCAGATCTAATCTAATAATAGTTTCATAGAGTTACTTTTTGCCTCAAACGTCTGAGAATAAGTGATGAAAGCTTCCATTTATTCTCATTATTTCTTCACTGTGCTTTAAGGGGCTCAGCATGTACGCATGTATCTGAAACCGCAGCACCTTGTCTGTGTTAGAGCCTCCATTGTGTTTATCATGGACCTGTCTAATTACTGGAAAACCTGCTTTTGACCTCTTCATTTTACACTCCGCACCGGGACATGAAAGAATGACTCAGAAACAACAAAGACTCTGTCGAGTATCTCTGAACACTTTTAATTCACGAGTTTACAGCATCTTCTCCTCACGCTTGTTTTGGTGGTCCGGGTGTGCGGGGTCCACACACGCTCCGGATCTGCGATAAAGTCCCGCCTCCGTTTGATTGACAGCAACAGGCAGATTTCTCCACATTTTCTTCTATAAGATTGAATCTCGAAACGGGAAACTGTCAATAATGCGGGGCATGTGTCTCAATTTGCGGGACACGTGAAAAGTAATGAAAACACGGGACTGTCCCGCACAAAGCGGGACATCTGGTCACCCTAGCGCGCGTGTGTGTATGTGTGTGTGTGTGTCACGCTCAATGCGTGAGAGTTGGCAGCCCTGCACACATTCGCACTCTGGTGATGATGAGCTGTATTGTAGCCACAGCTGCCCTGGGGGCACTGACGGAAGCACGACTGTCAAACACCGGCACCACCGGTCCCTCTGATCACCACCAGCAGGCAAGGCGAGTTAAGTGTCTTGCCCAAGGACACAACAGCAGCACTCTCTGGCAGTAGCCAGGATCAAACCTACAACCCTCCAATTACTGGACAGCCCGCTCTTCCTCCTGAGCTATTGCTGCCTTAAACGCTTAAAACAACGTTTAGAATTGGCAAACGTTTTAAAATCGCTTGTTACTTATCAGCAAATGAGTTTTGTCCTCATGGGCTCCTGTAATAGGAAACATAGCGTCACCCAGAGAACTAGACCCACTCCCATGTACTTTAGACCCAATTTTTTATGGTTAGATGTTACGAAGCCACTAATATTTTTTTAAATTAATTCATTTTCAACAACATTTAGATGGAAATTAGCAGAGATTAAGGGCAAAAACTACACATTGTCTCTTTAAGCAATAACCTGCTGTGAAAAGTTCTTGTCCAGGCCTGTTTTGGTGGATTACTCAACTCCTCACAAGGACAACTAATTGATTAATTATTCAACAAGAATCTTAAACAGCAAGTGCACACGTCACCAAAATTTGCTCATAAAAAGTACAATTAGCTGGTAGGACAAAGGCTCGTCCTGCATCAGTTTCTCTTCTCTTTGATACCGATTCAAAGTTCCATTAAGAGGCAAAAGGCTTAAAGATAATGAACTTTAATACTTCTGACCAAAACGTTGTGATTGCACCAAACAATTTGTGTCCAAGATTACTGAGAAGGGAGTGTACCAGAAATCCATGCAGTAAGACTTATGTGTGAAGGTAATAATTATTTTAATGACAGAAATATAATGCTAGGTTGTGTATGGAATGTTCAAACGTGGAATTAATAAAATGCAGATGAGGTCAGTGCATCACTCATCATTTATCCAAAATCTTTTAAATGTTTTTGTTTTTGGCAGAATTCTGCTAAAATACGGCTGCAAAGCAGAAGTAGGAGGAAGTACCGGAGTTTGTTTTAGGATATGTATTTCATTTCTGGGCTGCATGCAGACACACTTTGCACACGGGGTTTCATCTTACAAGTGTCAAGTTAATTACGATTCCAAAATGTCACTAGGTGTGTCTGTTGTATGTTTGATAGTCCCGATGTAAGCCTAGGCATCTCTGCCTTTACTGATCGTCACTGGAGGTAATCACCCAACCCCTTACAAATTATTGGATGATTAATTTCCTGCATAAAACCCATTCATATTAAAGATAGGTTGGACATTAGCCAGAATATATCTACATTTTCCTTTGGATTAAACTTCACTGGCTTTCCTACATTTTGGTTATTGGTTCTAAAGATTTTTATTTAAACAAGTGCTAGCTGCAGTGTTACTGAGAAAAAACAACACCTTTAAGAATGAGAAAGAGTATTTATTCACTGATTTCCTTTACTCGTGTGTTCCTGTCCAGTGTCATGAAGAGCTGGTGCCCATTTCTTCATCATTAAGCGAGAGGCGTGGAACAACCTGGACAGGTCTCAGTCCACAATGTGACTCAGAAACAATCTAGATTCCCCAATTAACTTAACAAGCGTGTTAGTTTTGGTCTGTGGGAGGAAACTCGAAACCAGAATACCAACCAAAGAAGGACGCAACCATGGGGGAACATGCAAACTCTGTAGAAAGGCTTATGAGTGTTGAACCTTATCTTGCTGCTAGGAAGTACTTCACCATGCAGCTGTAATGAGCAGTAAAATTATTTTCTAACTAATCTATTTGACAGTTCCATTAACAATATAGTAGATGTGTTTCTGGTGCATTTCTTGCCACGTTGCTTAAAATGCTCTTCACATGTCTATGGCAACAAATCAATGAAATATTAAAGAAAAAACAATTTTAATAACCTCTGAAATGTAAAATCCTAGGTAAACCTCATCCAATCATTGCAAATGTCTAATTTCTGTTGATTGGATCATAATACCTCCTTTTTTTGCATGAGTCATATATTCTCAGCTCGAGTTAGCTGAACAGGAAGTGAATAATCCCACTCTTCCTGCTGAATCTCTGATCTAGGTCCCAGTGGCATCTGTCTCCTAAATCTTAAGTGAGAACAGTTTCAATAGAACAGAAGCCTGTTACATGGATAAGGTGCTGTCAGATTCCAGATCTGCCAGTTGTCTGTTGCTAGATGTCGTTCAGACAAATCCCCAGTCCTCGTTCTTTTTTATTCCAAAATGAATGTCATTTGGTATGCACTTTCAAATTTAACATAGTTATACTCCTAAACAAATCTGATGCAGTAATTTCAGTTAACTTGATGTATATAGCAAAAAGCAGATAAATAGTACAGAAAAACATGCAGTTCCAGGACTTAGAAACCACCCTCGTGGTTGTCATTCAAAAGTACCCGAAGCTAGAGTGACTGCCAAAACCTCAGTGCTTATCCTGCTCGACTTATCGGCTGCAGTTGACTGTCAGCCATGGCTTCCTTTTGTCCACACTCTCTAGCATGGGCATCACAGCGAAAGCACACGCCTGGTTTGAATCGTACCTTACAGGACGATCATTCAGTGTATCATGGCTTGGACAATCCTCTATCGTGCACCATCTTGCCACAGGAGTCCCCCAGGGCTCTGTATTAGGACCTCTTCTCTTTGCCATATACACCACCTCACTGGGTGAGATCATTCGATTACATGGCTTCTCCTAAAACTGCTATGCAGATGACACCCAGCTTTATCTGTCATTTCCACCGGACGACCACACTGTCTCTGCACAAATATCAAACTGTCTCTCTGACATATCAAAATGGATGAAATCCCACCATCTCCAAATCAACCTCTCTAAAACTGAACTACTTGTCATCCCAGGAAAACCATCCATACAGCACAATATCTCAATCCAAAATGACTTTCCATATCTGGCTCCTTCAAAGGTAGTTCAAAATCTGGGTGTTGTGACTGATGAACACCTGAACTTTAAAGATCATGTTGCCTCTGTTGCTCGTTCATGCCGCTTTGCGCTGTATAACATACGAAAGATCAGACCATACCTAACATAACATGCCACCCAGCTCCTGGTGCAATCTACTGTCATCTCCCGCCTCGATTACTGCAATGCCCTTCTAACTGGTCTACCAGGCTGTACTGTGAGACCTCTTCAAATGGTCCAGAACGCAACGGCGCATCTGGTCTTCAATCAGCCAAAAAGAGCACACGTCACCCCTCTGTTCATTGAGCTCCACTGGCTACCGCTAGCAGCATGCATCAAATTCAAATAGCTAACACTAGCATACAAAGTCCAAGATGGTATGGCTCCCATCTACCTGAATCCTCTTGCAAAGGCTTACGTCTCGGCCCGGCCGCTCTGGTCATCACAGGATTGTCGGCTAGCAGTGCCTACACCACGCTCAGGACAATCCAGATTCTTCACAACTGTGGAATGACCTTCCAAGTACTACCAGAAGAGGGGCTTCCTTTTCAATTTTCAAGAAACTCCTGAAGACCCTGCTCTTCAGAGAGCATCTTCTAAACTAGCACCCTCCCTGCACCTGTCCCCCCTCTACTGTCCACTCCTTGTTCCCTCCTCTCCATGATTGATGTCAAGTTGTTGTTGTTATTGTTGTTGTTAGCCTCAAGGGCAACATGCCGATTATCACTTGTGAATCGCTTTGGACAAAAACGTCTGCTAAATACATAAACATAAGTACTCTGCCTTTTCTGATTCCTCCCTTATAATACGGCTCTCCCCACTTTGTGGAAAGGACCTTCCTGTCCAATGTATCAGTTATTAAAAACTTCTGTGCAGAGACTCACTCATGCAAAAGTCTCATTCTGCTGAAAAAGAGAAGTGAACAAACAACCCCAACCTTGTTTAAACAGGTGGACAGATCGTCCTCATGGTATTATTAAAGAGATGATATCATGCAAAATCCACTTTTTGGAGCTTTTGACCAAGTTATAATGTTATGGTTTTTGGCTTCATGCATGTATTTTCCTGTCTCAGCTGCTTCTTCCCTTCTTCTCTAATGAGCTATTGCAAAAGCCTAGATGGGGGATGGTTGCATCATCATGCTCTGTTCCTCCAAGGTCCAGGTAGTCTTTAGTCCAACACACCCAAACACACCCACATCACCCCACTTCTCCTCCAGCTTCATTGGCTGCTAGTCAACTTCAGGGTTCATTTCAAGATCCTGGTTCTGGTCTATAGGGCCTTACCTGGACAAGCACCATCTTACATTGGTGATCTTCTTAGTCCCTACACCCCCAGCAGGTCCCTGAGGTCCAGTGATCAAAGCCTACTAGTTGTGCAGCACCAGGCTAAAGACCAAAGGTGACAGATCATTTGCTGCTGTGGCCCCCAGACTCTGGACCTCTCTCCCCCTGAGCCTGAGATCAGTGGACTCAGTGGTCTCCTTTAAAAAGCAGCTGAAGATTCACTTGTTCAAGCTGGCTTTTGTATGACCTTCTTCAACCACTCTCTCTTTATTCAGCTCTCCCCACCTATTCCACCTTCCTCAGGATCCACTGATTTCTCTTTTTCCTATTCACTCTCTCTCTCTTAACATTTTTGTAATCACAATTGTCTATTTTTTGCTCATTTTAAATTTATTTTTAACCATTTTCTAAATTCTTTTTTATATTTTTACATTTTTTGTTTTGTGAAGCGCCTCGTGATTTTTCTCTCGAGAGGCGCTATAGAAATGATATTTTCTTCTTCTTCTTCTTCTTCTTCTTCTTCTTCTTCTTCTTCTTCTTCTAGATATCTTCTCCTCTGGACTGTAAATAATGTCACCCAGTCTCGCCATGTAGCTAGTGGGGAGTTAAATTTCCACAGTTGTGAAAAAGTGATTTATTTCTTATCTAGTCTGCCTAGAGCTCAAAAATGGATATTGTCTGCAAGTGAAACAGGATTCCTGTGTAGAATTAGATCTTGCTTCTGGAATCTGTGGTATTTGGACCTGTAGCTGTGTGCTGTAGTGGGATTCACAAGGGTGGAGGTGTGGCTTCATCAAATCCAAGAGTCTTATTTCCAGGCTGAAGGAATGGCTCACAAAAATGACATCTCAATAGTGCCAATGGTAATATTTTATCTTATGTTGAGCCTGACGTTGCTTTGGAAGGTGTAAAATAGCACGATGCAGACCCTTTAATGTCCAAAGCCAGGTGACCATGACACAGGTCGGCATTCTGAAATGACGCTAATGTGAAATGACGCTAATGATCTAACACTACATTAGAATTTATGGCAGAAAATGTGCCAACATTTGGTTGAAAAGGAAAGATAAAGTAATGCACGTATCTGTTGAGTACGGTGTTAAAACCTTTTCTGTAACCATCAGAACTCACGAGGGGAGCCTGAAAAATAAAGAGATTGGATTTTGAAAGAATTTTTTTTTTCTAAGTATGGCTTGCTTAAGCAGTTTTCCCCCCAAAACGGGAAATGATTTGAATTATTCTTATAACAAAGATTAAACAAACACGTATGTGAAAATGTATTTAATTTTATTTGGTTAACACAAATGGATAAAAATAAAAAAATAAAATATACACACTTATTATTTACACATTTAATATTTCTGAATCATGACATCTTAATTTGTTTATTAAATAAAACTCTTTAAAACTATACAATAATGTTATACTTTCATAATAAAGTACATATAATACAAAACAAAGCAGCTTCACTGCAGTGTTGCTATCAGTGTGGGATCTTCATGAGGAGCTTGATATGATTTTCTTCAGCTTCATCACCTCCTCCTTGGTGAGGGGCAGCACAGATGCAGGGATGGAGTCCACCATGACCACGGCGGCAGGTTCCATCTCTAACCTCTGCTGACCTCCCCAGACTGTGTCGCCTTTAACGAACCTAGGAGCAATGACTTGTGGAGGTCTGATGAAACTAGAATCTGTAGCGACGGGTTTGGAGGGGGCCTGGGTGTCTTTATTTTGAGTCTTCCATGATTTTGTGTATTTGCCGCTGTACGGATCCTGATCCTGCTGTTTGAGAGGCCAGATTTCCCGGCCTGCTGGGATTTTTGGAGCGACACCTGAAGGGGAGAATTTGTAGTCGGTGAAAAGGCTTTGGCTGCTACTATTCTGGTGACTGGTTGTCTGGGTGTTTGGCTTCGGACTTGGACTTGGCTCTTTCTTCAGCCTCAGGTCCCCAGCTGAGTCCTGGTTGTGAGGGTTCATCCAGGACGTCAGGTCGGAGGGGAAACTGTCCACGCCAGACCAGCTCTTTTGTCCAGAGGACAGCTCTGGATCAGGAACAAAAGGCCCGTTAACTTCCGGCAACTTTGCCGAAGACCCCCACAACTTCAGCCAGTTGCGGAACACAGAGAGAGGGACCTCAATTTCCATGTTGTCTTTCTCTTCTTTTGAAGTTTCACGACTCAGACGGACTTCTCTCTCCTCCGCTGGTCCGACTAAAACATTTGTTTTTGGAGAAGTGGACATAACCTCAAAGACATCTTCATCTATTATCAGATCAGAGTCATTTACAGGACTGCGTGAAGGTGTCAGGGCTTTGACATCGACACTGTCCATCTTTTCTTTTAACGGTTCTGAAAAAACCAAGGCTCCTTCATTGGACTCACCATCTTGAGTCTCACTCGCTTCCCTTCTCAGCACACCTGCTTGATGAGGGCTGTAGAGTGAAGAGGGTTTATTTAAAAACTTTGGATTCTTGCTGGATGAAGGCGGGGAGAACGATGAGACCGGGGTGATCTTAGCTTCTCTGGGCGATTCCTTTTTGCTCAAATTCAGCGGCTCCATCAATCCCTCTGAGGTCTTGTACTGCTCAGCCAGGAAGCGGAGTTGCTCCAGCGGCTCTTTCACCGCGTTGATTGAGTTTAGCTGAGATGTTTGGAAAAACATCCGTTTGGACTCGGGCTTAGGGAGAGAGGGGACGTGTGGGGTTAACACCGAGGACGGGATAGGTACATAAGCAGGCAGAATTGCGTGGGTTAGGTTGTAGTAGTGATGGAATGGGAGATGAAGAGGGAAGATGGTCCCATGTGGGTCTGACTGGTAGCTGTGAGATCCCTGTTGGAAAAATAAATGAGTGATCAGTGATAAATAGGATCATTTAGTGAAATACCTTCTTTTGTTGTAAAAAAAACAACAACCATGCAATGACATAGTTCATAATCATTCATCTGCATGCTGGTATCTCTCTGAGCTGTGACTGTTTGTGACAAAATGTGAGCGACATAAACAAGGAAGCTTCCAAAACAGGTGAAAACATTCCTGGAGGATCTCACGTTCCTGGCGTGAGTCAGGCCGTGATGTCGTGTCACAGGAATTTTCAACATGCTTAATTTGTAATGAGTCTGGGCTGGTACCTGGAACCCATTTTAACTTAGGCCCTGTCCACACGTAGCCGGGGATCTGCCAAAACGTAGATATTTTTCTGCGTTTTGGCCTGTCATCCACACGAAAACGGAGTTTTTTCACACGAAAACGGATCTTTTTAAAAACTCCGGCCAAAGTGAAGATCTGCGTTTTGGGTGTCTGCGTGTGGACGGACAAAACCGGAGTTTTAAGGTACGCAACGTCACTTTCCGCGACAAAAAATGCTGACATCACGTGTGCGACCTGTGTTTACACTAGCCGACAGCATGGATGCCCTCAGAGCTGCGCTCTGTCACTACCCGATCCATCAATTGTCCAAGCGCTTTCTGCTTGTTTGTTTTTGCAAGCGGAATTACTGCTCCTTGCGGAAGACCACAGACGAAGGACGAGGTTAAGAACGGGGGAAGTACTGCCGCCTACAGGTCTGGCATGTCCTTAACAACGTATTTATCCGGGTACGTGTGGACAGAGTTTTTTTTTAAAACGCGGTGGTGTGGATGCAAGTTTTTGGAGGGGCGGATATTCGTTTTCAAAAACCCCGGCTACGTGTGGACTAGGCCTTAGTTTCCTTCACTTAGAAAGAATGAGAAATGTGGGACGAATAAACTCAGGCAAAGGCTGTCAACCAAAGTGGGAGATTATTAAAAATATCTGGCCAAATTGCAACAAATTGTTTGGTGTTATGCCATTTTCTCCCCCTGCGACCCTGCATGGACAAAGCGGGTTCAGAAAATGGATGGATGGATGGATGGATGGCCATTTTCTCCACTTGGCACGGCTATTTAAAGGTCGCGTTGCTTAATTGCTCATTAGTATGTTTTCTTCTTCTGTCTTTTAAAATCCCAGAGAAAACCTGTCTCAACTGCACAAAGTTCTTTTAAAATCCAAACTTTTGCATGAAGCTACTAGAGCCACAGTAAGTCAATTAGTCCAAAAAGCAATTCCCTTTTATTTCCATATAAATATATAATTCATGAAAATGTAGACCATGTTTCTAGAATTCGGTGTATTCTTTAGAGTTTTACATAACACCAACCGTTGGCAATGACAGCAGCCTGCGCTTGGATGGTCTCTGACCGCCCTCGTCGTCTTTGGTGTAGCGGTAGGGCTTTGGCTGGAGCTGAGGAGAGCTGCTCATTAAAATGCCTTTCAGGTGACATTCGTAAGGCAAAAGGAGCCTAAATCAGAGAGAACAGATCACACAGAACGTTTAGACATCAGACATCCCAAACACAGCCTGATGAACACACACAGGGAACAGCGCTCACTTTTCGTAATGTCTGCGAGTGCAGGTGGCTGCACTTGTGCTGCGAGGGTTCCCTCCCAGCGAGTTGTAAACTCGCTTCCAGAGCTGATGAGACGTCACCTAACGAAATAGAAGCATGTTAATTAAGACACCTATTAAATCACAAGTATATTTTTCATTCATAGTTTTGTGTCAATTACCAACATCCACCATCTTATTCATAATAAAGAAAAGACTTTAACTTAAACTACTTAATGTTGTTGGTTACTGCATCACAATATAAAGTCATTTTTCTGAGTAATGACATTTTGTGATAATTAAAATATTATTACATTTTTAATGCATTGATTAAATGATGTATTTTACTAACTTATATTTTTAGGAGGATGAGGACCACATATGCTTTAGAAATGCATCAAACATACATCATGAAAAGTTATTTTGTAGAATCAATGATTACCTGATGGTAGCCGCCCAGCTCGTTCACTGTCCTGAACATCACAAATAAATCAACTGGAAAAACAGAAGAATAAAACATATTCATTGTTAATTACTATTATTTAAATGGCTTTCTGCAATAAAGTAAGTTAAATTATAATTATAAACCAATAAGCTTCATTACTTTATTTTTAGGTCAGAAAATTAGAAAACCTCTGACTTTTACCTTTGGTTTTACTGCACTGAGATATATTTTTGGAAAATTTTAAAGTTTACATAAAATATTACTAAAATCTTGGTAAATGGTCTGTATAGCACCTTCTTAGGGTTCTACAACCCCCCAGGGCGCTTCACACTTTCTCATGCTGGTGGGGATTAGCTGCCCTGGGGCGCACTGACAGGCAAGGCCTGCTGAACACACCGGTCCCTCCGACCACCACCAGCAGGCAAGGCAGGTTAAGTGTCTTGCCCAAGGACACAACAGCAGCATTCTCTGATCCGAGCCGGGATCAAACCTGTAACCTTCCGATTACCAGACAACCCGCTCTACCTTCTGAGCTACAGCAAATTTAGAAATATTCCAGTCAGCTTTCTGAAACTTTGATATCCAAACATCTGGAACATTTACAGAAGCAACAATATAAATTTTTAATTAAAAATGCAAAAACAAGTGCATGAGTATTGCTCTCACAAACTCAGTCTGCAGATCTAAGTTGCTTAAAGAAAAATATTTAGACGTACTTTGTTTGAATCCAAGATTTGGGATTCTCTCTATCGGCGTGTCTCGCTTCTTCATAAAAATGTAGAGATTTTTCAGGAATTGCTCCTCCGTGATCTCCTCCGTGGGATCTTTGGTGCTCTTCTCCTGGACTTCACCCTGTGCCATGTTCACTTGTACCTGAAACACAATTTCATCATTTTTAGTCCTCGGGTAGATTTTAGAGTATGCATTTTCACCCAGCAGGTTTTGGGTTTTACACCTGGATGTCACATCCTGCTGACTGATGATTGTCAAACACCTTCAGGTTTCTGACCATAAATCAACGTTTGGTAACATTCATACACATTTCAGAGTATATTTGTCTGTCAATATGTCAGAGACTCAAGAGCATCAATGATCCCTTTGTTTCCACAGTACTGTACACCGTAGCGCAACACTGCTCAGAAAAAATAATAAAAAATCTAACAGACTCTTTGGGAATAACATCTTAAACACCAGCAAATATTTTAAATATTATTTTTATTTCCTTACGTTAAAAACGAGCTACGGACACAAACAATGTGTACTTAACTTAAAAAAAAAGTTCAATCATTGTGCAGATCAAAAGTTTAGAGCAGCATGATTTAAAACGAATCCTCACCTGAGTTTCCATCGTTTCAGTAAAGACGACTGAAATTATCGCATCACCCTTCTGATCAAAAACAGTCCAACGCGGCGTTCGGGGTAGAGATCCGTCCAATGAGTTGGAAACAGATTAAAACTACTAAGCCTGCTTGCTAGAACACCGTCACGTCAGAAACACACTTGTCCCTCCAGTCTGTGTCAGTGTGATAAAGTCACAGAAGGAGGTGTTTATCTGAATCATTTCCTGCTGAGATTTCTGTTGACAAACTGGTTCGACTTGTTCTTGAGCGCAAAAAAAAACAAAACATGCAGGAATACACCTTTCAGAATTGTGAAATAGTGAGAAAATCACAAAAACCTTTGCCTGTCAGGTATATTTTTGCAACACTTATTCTGTGTGACGAGTCAGAGTCCGTTAAACAGATCAGTTTTACTCCTTGTGCACCTTTCCTTTAAAAAATTACTTTTGTGTTTAAAATTGTACCATAAAAAACATTTATTTGCAGCATCTGTATCTTTGTGAAGTATGAAAAAACTTTTAGTATCTCTGCTAAACACCACATAACAGAATCAGTGTCGTAACGTTTACCGTTTCCTTTCATTTCACTGGGTTGTTGGGTTGGCCTAACAGCATTTCACATGTATTGATATTAATTGTCTGTCCTACAAGCATATTATTTAAGTCACTGAGTAACGTAATTAGCAGCAAACAAACAGGAAATGTGAGATCATTTCAGCTGTCAGTTGAGAGAATGAGAGTTTGTTGGTCCTGAGATGAACCGATGCCCTGCAGCGACCAGTGGTCTGGCTGCCTTAGCGTTACAAGTATCTGATTCTAAAACCACAGCTGATGCAATTCAGTCCCATTTGCAATTCAACAATGGCATTGTCATTGTTTATGTTTATGTCTTTAGCAGACACTTTTGTCCAAAGTGACTTACAAGTGATAATTGGCATGTTGTCCTTGAGGCTAATAACAACAACAACAACAACAACTTGACATCAGTCATGGAGAGGAGGGAACAAGGAGTGGACAGTAGAGAGGGGGGACAGGTGCAGGGAGGGTGCTAGTTTAGAAGATGCTCTCTGAAGAGCAGGGTCTTCAGGAGTTTTTTGAAAATTGAAAAGGAAGCCGCAGTTCTGGTAGTGTTTGGAAGGTCATTCCACATTTGTGGAACGATGCATGAGAAGAGTCTGGATTGTCCTGAGCGTGGTGTAGGCACTGCTAGCCGGCGATCCTGTGATGACCGGAGCGGCCGGGCCGAGACGTAAGCCTTTGCAAGAGGATTCAGGTAGATGGGAGCCGTACCGTCTTGGACTTTGTATGCTAGTGTTAGCAATTTGGATTTGATGCGTGCTGCTAGCGGTAGCCAGTGGAGCTCAATGAACAGAGGGGTGACGTGTGCTCTTTTTGGCTGATTGAAGACCAGACGCGCCGCTGCGTTCTGGACCATTTGAAGAGGTCTCACAGTACAGCCTGGAAGACCAGTTAGAAGGGCATTGCAGTAATCGAGGCGGGAGATGACAGTAGATTGGACCAGGAGCTGGGTGGCATGTTGTGTTAGGTATGGTCTGATCTTTTGTAGGTTATACAGCACAAAGCGGCATGAACGGGCAACAGAGGCAACATGATCTTTAAAGGTCAGGTGTTCATCAATCACAACGCCCAGATTTCGAACTGCCTTTGAAGGAGCCAGAGATAGGAAGTCATTTTGGATTGAGATATTGTGCTGTATGGATAGTTTTGCTGGGATGACAAGTAGTTCAGTTTTATAGAGGTTGAGTTGGAGATGGTGGGATTTCATCCATTTTGATATGTCAGAGACAGTTTGATATTCGTGCAGAGACAGTGTGGTCGTCCGGTGGAAATGACAGATAGAGCTGTGTGTCATCTGCATAGCAGTGGTAGGAGAGGCCATGTGAATGAATGATCTCACCCAGTGAGGTGGTGTACATGGCAAAGAGAAGAGGTTCTAGTACAGAGCCCTGGGGGACTCCTGTGGCAAGATGGTGCACAGTAGAGGATTGCCCAAGCCAAGATACACTGAATGATCGTCCTGTGAGGTACGATTCAAACCAGGCATGTGCTTTCTCTGTGATGCCCATGCTAGAGAGTGTGGACAAGAGGAAGCCATGGTTGACAGTGCCAAATGCAGCCGAGAAGTAGAGCAGGATAAGCACTGAGGATTTGGCAGTCGCTCTAGCTTCTTTTAAGGATTCAGTCACTGCTAACAGAGCAGTTTCAGTGGAGTGGCCCTTTTTGAACCCAGATTGGTAAGGGCCAAGCAGACAGTTTTGTGAGAGGTATTCTGTGATTAACTTGAAAGCCACCCTTTCAATGATTTTGGACAGAAAAGGGAGGAGAGAGATAGGTCTCCACATGATTTGGAGGAAGAGATATTTTTTAGCAGCGGTTTGCCCTGAGCATGCTTGAGAGAGATGGGAAATGTACCAGATGTCAGTGAAGCGTTGATCACATGTGTGACTGCTGCAGCTGTTGTAGGAACAATAGCTTGGAGCAGCTTAGTTGGAATGGGGTCAAGTGGGCATGTAGTAGGGCGGCTGCACGTGAGAAGCTTGGACACAGTTCTTAGTGAGAGGGGCAAAAGAGGAAAGTGAAGCGGTAGGGCTTGAGATGGTTGGGCTAGAAGGAGTTTGTGGTAGCAAATGTTCAGGAGTGGCCAGTTGAGTAAACTGTTTGCTTATAGCTGCCACTTTGTCAGTGAAGAATGAGGCAATGGTGTCAGCTGAGTTTTGAATGTTTAAAATAGTTTCTGAGAGTCAGTAGAGCTGAGAATTTTGTCAGTGTAGAAAGCTTTCTTTGCATCAGTGATACTGGCAGAGAATGAGGACAGTAATTCCTGAAATTTCAATAGATCACCATGATCTTTTGTTTTGCGCCATTTCCATTCCGCAGCTCTAAGATTGGTGCGTAGAGACCGGAGGGTATCATTTAGCCAAGGGTGCGACTGAGAGGATCTAGCAGGTCTAGTGGCTAAAGGGCACAAGTTGTTAAGACAAGAGCAGAGTGGAGCAGAGTGACTCGGTGGCATCATTCACTTCATAAGCAGAGAATGTGCTGGGAGATGGAAGAGTGCAGGCAACAAGAGAGGAGAAGTGGTTGGGTTTTAGAGTGACTAATGGGTTAGTCACACAACGTTAGGGATGTGAGCGCACAGTTCAACTTCTCAATAGGAAGACGTCAGGGTCCTTCCATGGCGTGTTGAGGTGGTTGTCCAACTGTCAGGGAGCTGATCTTGTCCCCGAAAAGTCCTTCAGGTCCTTGACCGTGAAACCAGTCTGGAGATTTGGGTGCAGGTGCTTGAAGTAGTTGATCTTTTCCCAGCGTCTCTTCTTCGCTGTGTCCTGTTGTAGTTGCCTCCAGGGGGTCTTCAGCCGAGGTGGATGCAGGTTACACTGTCCCGTAGGTGCGCGGTCAGTGAGGAGTCCCAATCCGTTCAATTTCAGTTCCAGTTCTAGTACCCCCTCAAATGCTGCTGTCCCAGTCGTTCTATCAGGTGCTGAGAGGTGGCCCAATGCAGGCCATGAACGTGAAGGATAAAAAAAACAACTGAATCTTCAACATTTAAATTCCATATAGATACTAAGAAATGGCCAAATCACTCAATAAAGCCAAATGAACATTCATCATCTAAATCCCATTTATAAAATAAATTTAGGTGTGTGACAAATATTTATTAGACTTTATCATGTTTTCTGGAGTCCGAGTTATGAAGTGTAGTCAAGATCATACTGTATGTCCCATCAATAAAACAAATATTTGGTCCTTGACAAAAATTTACTATTTGATGTGTTCAGCAATAAGTCTATTCATTAATTGGTTTAAATTTCACCAATATTAAATGTTTCAGTCAGAAACCACATAACTTTATTTCTCCAGATTCGAAAGTGTACAAGGTTGAACAGCTGTGTCAACATTAGCCTAATCTCAACCAGTCCTAAAACATGGGCCGATGTTTACATTCCAAAGAGGACGGATGAACACAAATCAACTGTTCAGCAGCTTCATACTAAATTTCAAAGTGTGCAAACCCCATTTTTAAATGAAAGCATTAAATTATCTTTGTTTTTATATTTTCTTTCAGCAGTTATTTCTCGAAGCCTTCCTGATTTCTGCTTCAGCCTCTTGGCTGATAGAATGTCGTCTTACTTTAGACCAAGGTCTGTTAGGATGTGTACGTTTCTTTGATACACCCTTGCTGTTTAACCCAGACACAGAGGAGCGTGAAATTCCGTGTCAAAGTATTTCAAAGTTCCCAATCTGGGAATACATGAAGAATTATAACAATTAAAACTTTTTAAATGCAAATTCCCTACAACGGCTTTAATCTGCTGTCTCATTTTAATTTTACTTCCAGACAGTTTCTCCCCTTGTTCTAATCACAGTGTCCTTTAATCGGTGATCTGAACAAATTCCTACATTTGACAGACACCAGGAGATTCAGTTCATGACAACCAATATTTTTTAGAGTGTTCAAAATGCAGTTTTCGACTTCAACAGGTGCTGCACACCAAATCTGCTGTTGGCCAGGCTCGATTGTCATTTCGCTGAGAACTCCCATGTCTTATTGAAAATGTCAAAAAAAAAAAAAAAAAACAGTCAGTTTCTCAAATTGAGGAGTTCCACTAAAACCCTTTCCCTTTCAGCCACTAGAAGTGACACAGTTTATAGTTCAAATTATATTTGTCACCAGATACCAGGAATTAAATATTTGGTCAGTGCTTAACCCTTTGATGCATGAATCGTGAAATCTTCAACCATGATTATTTAACAATTATTTTCATTCATCTTCAGGTGTAAATGAAACAAAATTCAACAAATATTTTTTGTAACATTTAATAATTAGCATACAATTTACTGCAAGTCCACCACAGTGGACAGCGTGTATTCTGAACATGAAATATGTTGGCTGGACTTACTGAAGTCCACACAGAGGGGCTCAAATGCAATAAAGTCTTCAACGGCTGTGCTTAATAGCAAAAAACAAATAGATAAACTACAATTTGGAGAACCTGTCCACTGTAATGACCGCTTTGCATCAAGGAGTTAATTTTTTTCATCTTTATGTTCTAGTTTAAGTTACCTTCAGGCCTCACGTGATAAGACCTTATTGGCTCAGAGCACAGCAGCTGTTGTTTGGGTTATTCTTTTGAGCCTGGC